GTTATCTAATTTCTGCCGTCTATCGCAAATTTTAAACCTACCTATGGCATATAATACGTAGGGGAATTTTAAGATATTTTTAGTAAAAAAATAAAAAATTGCGCCTTATATACCGTCAAATAAAATAAGTCAAACACAAGTTAGCTGACCCGAGAATTATATAAATACGTCGTTTAAAATGCGCCTCAATGAATACAGATTTTCTAATTTAACATATGCAGATATGTCTTTAGATAGTTCGGAATTGGTAATCATCGAATCTAAGGGAAAATTAAATCTTAAACTTAAAATCTAGCACGATGCTGCGTTTGCCGGGCATTCAATGAGAATCGAACTCACTTGCATTTTACGTGACTAACACGCTGAATGAACATCATATGAAATTTGAATGGGTGTAGTGGTAGCACATACACTGGATGCATCATGAAGAATACATTTTAAATGATTCAAATACCTCGGTGTATGAATAAATTATGAAAATAATATACAAGATAAGAAAATTGAACTCAGAATAATCTGCGCTAGGGTTACTTTGTTCGAATAATGGAAGATAAAAAACGGCTCAAGTGTTCATGTTAATATACTATGTTCTCAAATAGCTTCGTCAGATCAAGACTGTCATGGTTATTATGCAGGATATCTAACTCGTTCAGAAATGTCTAAACTATCATCTGTATAAAACAGCTTTCTCGGAACAATGATTAAAAATGGTTTCAAACAAATTATCCTTTAGGTCTTAAAGAATACGATTCTTCAATCTCTAGAGGGACGTTACGAAATCATAAATCACATCACTTGAAGACTTCCAACAACAAAAATGTGTAGTACATGTAAAAAGATATAATCAAGCTGTTAACTTTTCATACTACCGAAAAATAAATAAATAAATAAAAATGGTTTAGTAGGAAACACTCATCAGTGGTAGAAAGAGCGATAACTCTTAATGGACTTGATAAATCTAATTTAATTAAAAAAAAAAAAAAAAAAAATTTAAGATTTTACAAATTTTAGCCGACTGTCATGCTAACTATTCGCTCAATAAACGACAAATGTTTCTCGTATGGAAACGCCTATTTCACCATTACCATTCCACAGGAAACCTTGATTTTTTTTTTTTAAATCAATTAAAATCAACAGCAAATTATAACTTTGCAAAGCCGTCTGCTTTTTTGTTAAAGTCCGTGTTATATTTTCTTTTTCCAGCATATACACAAATAAACTGGCTATAATGGCCATGATGAATTAACGCTGATTATCTTCACTCAGACACGATCGTGGGTCAAGCGTTTTACAGCAATAATTATAAGTATAAAGAGAACACATGATGCACACAACCGTTCAACTTCCGTTCTAAATTTAAATAAAGTGGTTTTGCCAACAGCGCACAACTATCAATCAGCCAATGGGAAGCGCAGGTAAACGCTCACGTGAATGAGAATCCTGCCAATTCTTTTATTTGCAGCAAGTCAAGAATTTCTTTTTCCTCCCCACTCCTGCGTCGCAATGGAAGAAAGACTTGTCTGACGAATAAATCGCCAATATAAGAACCATATCAAGTAGGGCTTTTATTTGATTTAAGATTATTAATGAAGAAAATTATGCTTTTTGTGTAATTTATTCGATGTATGTGTTGAGCTGATATGACTTTCTCGCTATATTTTTTTTAATGGTTTTTAAATTATATTGGTTCCGTTTCTTTTATTATTGAATAAAGTGTTTTGTATTAAGATGAACGCCACATTCCATCGTTTTCTTAAATGTTTTCCAGTTTAATTCTTGCCATACTTTAAGTAACCAGTTCCCCCAGTCCGAGTTATCTATTTATCAAAATGGCGTTTTAAAAAAAACTTTAATCCTAGTTCTATACGATAGGTTCTGAAATGTTTTCAACCTGACCAAGAAAGGATTTCAAACTGCTGATGTTTCATCACTAGGCCAGAGATTTTAGGAAGTGGGTTGATAACTTTTCAGCGAATTGTATGGAAGGAGCATATCTCAATAGTGAAATTGAAGATAAAATCGTTTAACTTTTGATAGCACGAGTTCGTTCTTCATACAACTTCTTCCAAAATATTCCCTACTATTATCCATCTTGGGATATTGTCTCTTAATGAGTATATTTTTAAATATAGACTGAACTTTAAAATTGAGTGTTAAATTGATAGCGTCGTATAAAGAGAATCCTTTAATGGATAAAGTGATATGCTTGCTTGAATAACATGTCTTTTTACCAAACTCAATGCTTGCAACTTTCTATCAAACTCTGTAGACGATTCTGAAGTTATAGTCGACCACATCTCTCATTACCAACTACAATACATATTCCGACGATTACAATATTATAAATCGTTTAGAAAAAAAAATTATGCGCTTGTATGAATATAAAATAATCTATTACACATAAACTAAATTTAATTATTTCTACAGAAACGTACCGCTCCAAGAACTTTATTTTCATAAGATTATCGAATAAGTACTCTAAATTACGAATATTTATTTTGTAAATTTCAAGAGGAGGATTCAGTTTCTTATGTACTTATGTAAATGAATTTTAAGTTCATTCCCCCCGTTAGACAAAGGTAAAAATGATCATACTACGTGATAAAGAATATTCTTAAAAAAAACTTCCAAAAGTAAAAATAATTTCAAGTTAAAATAAAGTTAATATCTCTTACAAGTATATTCTTAGCTTTTCCTTTTTGTTGCGTTAAAATAATACTTGCATAATATATATTCAACTAATTTCAAAACAGCCGCGATATATGAATTTTAATTCCTGTTCTTACTGAATATATGAATTCGAATCCTATTCTTTTTCATTATTTCTCCTTTGCGTAGGGTAGGGCGTTCATTTATGCTGACATTACATAGCAAACTGACACTCTACCCCCAGAAATTTATTTAAAAAAATTGAAATCTTGATTTGGGTTGCTTAACTGATATTAATCTGAAAATAAAATTTAAAAAAAAAATATTCCTGAGTTTCTGTAGAACGTAATATTATTTCTCAACTCAAATTAATGGTCATTTCTAAGTTTAAGCGTTTATAGACAGACTATACCGATTTATAGAAGGTCTATTTGACGACTTTTTTTTTCTGAATAGGTTCCTTTGTCATTTTAAGGAAAAATCTAAAGAAAATGGCAGCTACTCTCCCCAGGTGTCATATTGGCGTTCATGGTATTCTTTATAATTGAATTTATTATAGGAAACTGGTTTCCGATGACCTTGCTTTCTTTCATTTGATCCTAAGTGTTTCTTCTTCTAAGCATGAAATTCGATTTCACCTTGGTATTTATGCTCTCTATCGGAGTTTACAAACACGAATAATATGCCTTTTATTCCTCACCAACTCCATATGAATATATTCTAGATCATAAAAAAAAACAAAAAAAACAAATTCGACTCTTTGACATATATCGACGTTCACTCGATATTTGTTACTATTTCTGAATAGGCTTTTTCGTAACTGTAGCGCTTGTCAATCAGGTTTTGACGCGCTGTCACGTGATCCGAGCTGTATGCCTCGCTCCCGTTACGTGACAGGATCGGAGTTTCATCGATAGTTTATGAACATAGATATTTGCTATTCTGTATAAATAGCCGCTTTCTTCCTTTTTCAGCCTCTCTTGTTCTTGAATATCATTGTTCTCATATCGCTTGGTTTCTTTTTACAATAAAGAACTTAAAAGTTTGCAGTACTAACCTGATCACTAACTTTTTTTTTTTAATATTATATATATATATATATTTTTTTTTTTTTTTTTTTTTTGCCAATTTTGAAACTCCATATTCGATCTTTTTTAATCATTTCATCTCGAGCGATGGATTATTGAGAGTAAGTCTTGGAGAAAAAAAAATTAAGGAGAACTGACAATAAAAGAACAATTTATATACAGGCTGAGAATCATTTATCCGAAATTCTGGGGACCGGAAGTGATTCGGTTTTCAAGTTTGGGAATCCAGGCTGTTTAATATGCATATAGAATCTATAAAATGGAGCAGCTCGGGAATAGTACCCAAGCATAAAACACCACGTCCCTTTTACATTTAATAGCATAGCTTATACATATACCCTGAAGGTAATTTTATATAAGCGGTATATGTATATTCCGACGCTGATGAATCCTTTCCATCAATAAGATATAGATGATCATTTTTATCTATATGCAGCGTTTTTCTATTTTAATTAATTTCCCCAGTTTCTTTAGTTTGTATATGATGGCTGTTCCAACGCCAAACTCCTCAATCAGGCGCTTCACACTTACACCCCTGTCCAACATTTTAGTTTTCTTTTGATATTAAATACGTTCTTTCCCTTTTTTTTCTTCTTTTCACTACTCATATGGGTATCTGCAGGGCTATTTTCAATATCTTTATTGAACACTAAACACCTAGTAAGTAATCCACGAACGATGGAGGTGTTGTGCCTATCGCTAACCAAATAAAAAAAAAAATGTCGCCAACGTAGGTGGGTTGGGGAACCCCCCACACAAAGCAGATGAGTTTACTTCCAACAGTTGCACATCACCTAGGAACCTTTTCAGTGCTTTCTGAAATTTTGCATTTGTGGCAAGTCCTGTCAGCAACTTTTGGACTTTCGAGTAAAGGATACTCAATCTGTAGTTAAGAAATTTCCAATAATTTTGCTAACAATTTAAAACTGCAATTTGACGTTTTTTACAGCAAAGATGCGTGGAAGTATTTTTTCATAGTCTTATGTGAAGTAGATATGTCTGGTAATAATAAAGTTGATATATTTTTAATGTCATCACTGTCAGTTTGCAGGCGAAAAGGAAGTATAAGCTTAGTTTTGGCACAAGTATATGGGACCCAGTGAGAATCGAATTTAATAGTAATAGGGAATTATATTCGTTTGTTTACCATTTACCCATGGTGCGAGCGCGCACACAGATAAAGTACAATGTACAGCTCTTCAAATGACCTTCAGGTAATCTTTAAGAGAAATCCCTAAATGATTGTCTAAGTGTCAGAAGGCTTACAGCCACATCAAGTTGAAAGACCTGTCCACGTACGATCACCGAAGTTAAGCAACGTTGAGCCTGGTCAGTATCTAAATGGGTGACTGCTTGGGAATACTAGGTGCTCTAAGCTTGGTGTGCGGGCGGTGTAATGGATAATGGTTTGGAGTTGTTAATCGGAGAGCCGAGTTCCAATTCCTATTGGGTTCGTTATATTCACATACGCACAAATATCATTGGGAAAGATATGAATCCACCTCTTCTCCCCAGCTATAGTTTAAATAGATTTATATCACTATTACTATCTCCCCCCGCCAACAAAAAAATTCTTAGTCTTCAAAAATATTTTATGACCTTAATAAGTCGTAGAAATCGAATCGATCAATCAATAAAATTAAGTGTTAGACTAGCTTAGGTGTTGCACATTAATGTTGGTAGTGACCTCACAGTTTTGTAAGATTTTCAACTCTTGATTAAATTTAATTTTTGCAGTATAAGTTAATATAAGCAGTAGGTATCTTGAAATAGTAAATTGTTCTATTTGGCTAGATTTTGGGAAGTCGGTCGGACTAAGAACTTTTCAGTACCTCATTGTAGATATTTACTTGTTAGCCACTCATTAGTAACTCATTATATTTGTAAATGGATTAAGACTAACTTACTAATCCCTCTTCTACAAAATGCGCCTTCTCTTGGAAGCTTTTTTAAACTGTTTGATTCGAAATGCAAAGGCCATATAAAAACTCCCATATAAATAGTAATCTGATGATGCAAATAAGTATTTAAAAAAAAAAAAACTTTAAAATGCTAAAGGTATTGAACCTAATCATGATTGACCGTAAATGTGGATCAGACACCTTTTATTGAATTCAGGTGTATTTGTTTGGTTGATCAGTCCCGATTGTTAGTTCGACAAAGGTGTTTTTGTTTATTCTTTCTTCATTTTATCGCTTTGGGTGCCGGAAATTTTCTTGCTTCGTCTTTTTCCCCCCCTCTATTGTGATTGCTTTACAATTACACAAATAAGATTAACTTCAAACATGATGTGGATGTGTGAAACATCTCTGTAAATTGTCTATCAATCTTGCTCGACTCCAGTCCCGGATTACCTAGTTAGTTACAGAGCTTTAACAAGCAAAACAAATACCTTCATTAGAAAAACTACATCACGCACGACAACAATTTTCTTTTAAATCCGAGATTTTTTTCTTTCTCCTTGTTTTTAGGTCTAATATTTATTTATTTTAGGCTAATGGCTAATCAATAAGTTGCTGTATTATTTACCTTTTATAGTTCTCCTTGTGCTATCGAGAAATGCATTCTAAATTGTTTTTCAAACAGTAATGTCTTGGCCAATATCCATTTTACCTGCTCTTTAAGCTGTGCATTTAATAATAAAACTTCATTAAAAACCTAACAATCTGTTTGTATGTGTATTAATGAACAAAGAAATCTTTCAATTAATTTTGCACGATTTGCATCCGAAGATTTAAATTCGTTTCCTTAAGATTGCTTGCTGATTCGTCGATTTTTCAAAATCTACTAAACTTAATGAGAATCTAGGAATTCATATCCTTGTATTCCGATAACTACGTTCTAAAGACATTTCGAAGTTAACATAGTTGGCGCAACCCTGCACAATAGTAAGGGACTTAATCTAAATTTCTAGCAATGAATGGCTTGGTCATCATTACTCTTTTATATAGCTGCCTTATGGTTACGAGAACTATCATAGAAGTTGTTTTGCAATTAAACCGTAAGAGATACTGGAGCAACGTAAGAAGGCAGTCTACTTGTCTGCATGAAAAAAGAAAGCATGTGATTATATTGGTCTATTATTTAATCTATTCAAATTAAATCTCTCGTGCAATCATTGAAGATAAGCAATGTCGAGCCTAGTCAGTACCTCGAAGAGAGACCACATGGTAAGACCATGTATTGTGAACATGGAGTAAAGGATAATGGCTGGGAACTGGGAATAAGAGAACAGTTTCAATTCCAGTCGGGTTCGTTATATTATGTGCAAATACCCTTGGGAAAGGTAGGGGTCCACCTATTCTCCCTCCAACTATAGGTTAATTAGTTGTATCAGTAAATTATTATCTCCAGAAATTCTTACAATCTACAAATATTTTCTGGCTTTAAATAACCTGCAAAAGGTTGATAAGCTGTAAAAAGAAAAACAAATCAATAAATATTTTTTAACAAAGCTAATACTAAAAAGATTTTTTTTTCCTTTTGAGAACGATAAAAATGAACTTTTCATTTTTAAGCTGTTAAAAAAGAAAATTTAAAAAATATGAAATAATCAAATGTTTCTTAGAATGATTGAAATGCTATCCTTCTTTCTCATATTATAAGAGCATTATTATAAGAGCAGATAAGATTGGAAAAAGAGTGAGCAGTTAGGTACAGTGGATTAAGATAATATACGGGCGAAATAAATATTCATTGAGGAGAGAGAGATTAGCCATTGATAATTATTTTCACAATGTCATTCCCTTCAGTGCGTAAGCTTTCTAGATTCTTTCTTTAACTCTGAATTGCCATGAATTCTTGAAAAAAATCATATTTCGCAGCTGTTTTAAAATTAGATGAAATTTTGTAAGTTAAGATCTTGCTTCATCGCGTAGTATAAGCACATTTTTTTTTTTTTTTTTTTTTTTTTTGAGTAGCGGAGATCAATTTACAAAGACTTTACATAGCGAACTGAACCCTCTGAAAATCTAGGGAAAAAGTGGTATTCCTGATCTGAAGTGCTTATCCAATAGTAATGACAATAATCTGAAGAAAAAAAATATTATTTCTTGGAGAGGTGCGTTTCGGTAGAAAAGTCTCAATTTTGTATTATAACTATTAATAAAGGTAGATGGTCATTGGAAATGGTCGAAGTGCTGTTAATCAAACTGCTAATTCCAAATATCTGTCCTTACATTACCAATCCATTGTCATGTTTTAATTAATAAATATTATTTAACCGCCGCCTTGTCGGGAAAATTCGACACGATGAGGACTCCTATGAGCCTATATGTGAGTAATCAAAAATTTCCCAGGTTCCTGTCACAACAGCATCAGTGCAACACCTGTGCTCTTCTTTTTATTACCAATGTACATTCAATACTTGGCTCAAGAGCCACTCAAGATAAATTGTTATTGAATGAGGTAAGTGGTGTGGACACAAGGGGAGGAAGTAAGAAGTGAAGATAATGAACGATCGATAACGACTGCCCCCTTCATTCGATGTGAGATACTGTTCTGGAAATAAATATTTTACAAACCTTTTCATAATCGGGCACAAGGTCACAAAGTTGGGGTTCCAAGTAAGCGAAAGTATTTAAAAGCAATTGCTATCGCGATACAGCAAGTGTTCGACAACAGAACTGTTAATTTCTGGTACTTGCAATTTAAGCGAAACCACTTTACAATCATTCCAGAACGGTTAATTTATTGAAGAACTGATTAAATCAGAGAGGTGGGGGGGGGGAGATCCCTCCTCCACCTTACTCTATCAGTAAGGCTAATAATCACCACAGTACTTTATTTGTCCTGATTTGCTGTGGTATGCCACTGAAGAAGGACTTAATCATTCGCTGTGTTACCCATAAAAACGAAATAAAATAAAACCCCTGTGTTATTAAATGCTATTCAAACAAGTCACTTAGGTTGGGCAGTTTATTGAATCAGTGTGGTCATTGCTAAATAAGAGAAGTCACACTTCTAATGTACTAAAAGAATTCTTAAAAAATAGTCCTATTTTTAGTAAATGTGTTATGTCACACACACACACACACACACACACACACACACACACACACACACACTTTTCGAGTGTAACTACTACTTTCTTATGCATCGCTGATTGTTTCGTTGAAAGCTTGTCATCCTTTCAATAATGTTACTGTTATTTGACTAGTGAGATTATGTACGGATCTTGACGTATTTATTACGATAATACGTTTGGGCGAAGAATAGAAATCTTTTGTGTACTTGGCGTCTATAAAACTTGTTAGGCACTTCTCCGTCTTTCACTTTAATTACGCATAATAATGTTGGATCACTTTTTAAGGCTTTTCCCGAGAATTATTTTCACTTCGATAGCTTTCTTATTAACTTGCCGTATTTGTCACATACTTGTTTTTATTTTAGGTACTTAAATATGACTGTACCAATAATATGTATGGGAGGCCGATTAGCGAAATCCCGAGCTGTATAGTTAAGAAACAAGGTTCTGTCTTTTTTTATTGTATATACTACAAATGAAAATACTAATACTTACTGAAATATTTGATCACTAGTATAACCTCCGTTTCATCTGTCAACACTTTTACAGATACTATATTTGTAAAATTCTTTAGGTTTTGCTATAACATACGAAACCAATACAACTTCATATCTTGATGTCAACCTTAGGCCATCCAAATGGTTCTCCAAACGTTTGAACAAATGATAATCAGAAGAAGCAAGGTTTCCCCCAAACAATTTCCTCTAAGAAATATTTAATCAGTGGTTCAGTGTGAGGACGGGCATTATCGTGATGAAGAATTACTCCCTTTCCGTTTGTTAAGGATGAAAGTTTTCTGTCCAAAGCTGCTTTCGAATGATGGAAGTCATTGGCAATAGAGAATGGCGCTGATTGACTGATTATGTAACAGTTCATGGTACATGATTCCTTGTATACCCCACCTTTCACTCAACATGATCTTCTTTGGATGAAGTGCTCCTCTCGGTTGCTGAGCAAGTGTTTCCTCGACTTGATCCACTGACGGCGGCGTTTGTCGGAGTTAGCTCCTCTTTTAGCTCATTAACCCTTCACCAGAGGTCTCTCTTCCCAGACTATAAATACTAGCTGACTCTTCGCCTCGATCTCTTTTTCCTCAGGCTTCAGCCTTACCACCTCACAGATGTGAACGCTCACAAATACAGCTTTTCCCAAATTCTGGGAACACGCTAAGAACAATACGCGTACGTACGAACACTCACCACAACACACACGCACATAATATTCACCTCACGCACTCTGTCCACGTACTTGTAACTTGTACTTAAGATTAATACATATATTTGTTTACATATATTTATCGGTCTTGTGTTTGTTTTCTTTGGACTTAATTAAAGTCCCACATGTG